TTCGCCACCACCCACACCCAGCTTCCCGCCCTATGACGTTCGGACACTTCACTTCGTGGCATGCGGACGACCGTGGCTACTATTCAGGGCCCCGCGGCCGACGACGACGGCGTGCGCGCGCGAAGAAAAAACGAATGTGTCCCGCATGGTATTATTTGACAGGGATGATGGCCCTGGCAGGTGCGCAACCGTTGTTGCAGAAGTTCGAAAAAGTTGCTCGCAAAAGCCCGTTTGACAGAAATGTTTAAAAAGTGTTGGGTTTCCTACGAATCCGCAAGAGCGCGCGGGATGAAATTTTGACATTTTTTTTTGAAAAACCATTGGTTTTTTGATGTTTTTATGTTAAAATCGCTACGAAAACTAAGGTTTTGGAAGGATTTCGTCTTGCGCGCGCGAATGTCCACTTTACCTTATTTTTTGCAAGGGATTCTTGAAGTTTGGTTATGTTAGAACAAGAAATGTCCACTTTAGCTTATTTTTTGCAAGGGAAAACCGATCGTAACAACACAACCGGATCCGGACCCCCGTTTTGCCTGAGACTTCCTCACGAAAATGATGAAAATGAGGCTGCGGCCTAGGCGCGGCGGGGGGGTCGTGCACCAGGGGCCCCAACAATAATTATTCTTAAGAAGTAATAATGTTCAACAACAACAACATCAACAACAACAATCATTTTACCCGAACGCGTGGTGTTCTCCCCAGTGCCAGGGTTTTCATACGACACCAGGCAATACCCCCACTTCGTGGGGGGGCATTACAAGCTCTACCAAATATCCAAACGACTCTTCGCGACCACCCAAACCCAGCTTCCCGCCCTATGACGTTGGGACACTTCACTTCGTGGCGTGCGGACGACCGTGGCTACTACACTGGCGTGGGGTACACACCCACAGAACTTGGTCACTTATTCGGGGCGCGCATGTGCCCAGCATGGTGCAATTGTGCCATACAATACATAATACAGAGAGACAGAGAGAGAGACAGAGAGCAGACAGAGAGAGAGACAGAGAGAGCGGAGTTGGTCACATTTTTGGGTCAAGTTCCTGGGATGATGGGAATACACAACTCTGTTACATTTGATAGTGTGCACGACACACATGAGATGATACGTACTCGCAAGATAGTTGGTCACATTTGTGGAATTCCTGGGCGGATGTGGGGATACACAAATACCTTTGTTACCAGTGCTAGACATGGTACAGACACTGAGAGAGAGGCGTGCGCGCGCAAAAAACGAATGTGTCCCGCATGGTATTATTTGACAGGGATGATGGCCCTGGCAGGTGCGCAACCGTTGTCGCAGAAGTTCGAAAAAGTTGCTCGCAAAAGCCCGTTTGACAGAAATGTTTAAAAAGTGTTGGGTTTCCTACGAATCCGCAAGAGCGCGCGGGATGAGATTTTGACATTTTTTTGTTGAAAAACCATTGGTTTTTTGATGTTTTTATGTTGAAATCGTTCCGAACACTAAGCTTTTGGAAGGATTTCGTCTTGCGCGCGCGAATGTCCACTTTACCTTATTTTTTGCAAGGGATTCTTGAAATTCGATTACATTTGAACAAGAAATTTCATGTTATAGTGTTTTTTGCAAGGGAAAGATCACACTGGAAGCAATACAACATACTCCATTTCAGAAAAAAAGCGAGCGGCGGAGAAAAAAACCTGAAACAGCAACTGACGTATCGAAAGAAACGGCGGCAAGGCGAACCAACGAATTCAAATCAGTTGGAACTCCCCGTAAAAATTTGGCGGCGAATCGTCTTGTGACCAGTGCGGAGTTATTCCGGCGGGCTGCGTTTTGCAATCCGTTGAAAAAACTACATCGAACATAACAACACATTATATCTTAGGCGGGCGTGGGACTCTCCCGAGAAATATTTGCAATTCTATTAAAAAAGCGCACCGCGTGACGCGGAAGTGCGATGTTTTCAACTCCCAACCAGACGAAACATTTCAACCCGCCCGCGGGCGCAATCGTAATCGCAACTAGGCAACAACAAAATGGCGGCGGGCTCGCCGGCCAAAATCAGTTCAAAATGGCGGCGGCGGGGGGGGGCGCCCCCCAGTCAGTACTGCAGTGAGCACCGAAGAAACCGTAGTGATAGGGAAAGCGGGGGGGAACAAAACAACCGGATCTGGATGACATCGTTTTACCTGAGGCTTCCTCACGAAAATGATGAAAATGTAGCTGCGGCCTAGGCGCGGCGGGGGGGGCGTGCACCAGGGGGCCCAACAATAATTATTCTTTAGAATTAATAATGTTCAATTATCCCAGCGCGACCCTACCTAGCAGTTGGAGCCCCTAGGAAAGCTAAGCTAAGCTAAGCTAAGCTAAGCTAAGCTAAGCTAAGCTAAGCTAAGCTAAGATAGCTAAGCTAAGCTAAGCTAAGCTGAGATAAGCTAAGCTAAGCGAAGCTAAGCAGCGGTAAGCTAAGCTAAGCTAAGCTAAGCTAAGCTAAGCTAAGCTAAGCTAAGCTAAGCTAAGCTAAGCTAACATGCGATAAGCTAAGCTAAGCTAAGCTAAGATAAGCTAAGCTAAACTACGCTAAGCTAAGCTAAGCTAGGCTAGGCTAAGCTAAACTAAGCTAAGCTAAGCTAGGCTAAGCTGAGCTAAACTAAGCTAAGATGAGACAAGGAAAGCTAAGCTAAGATAAGCTGAGCTAAGCTAAGCTAAGGTCAGCTAAGGTAAGGTAAGCTAAGCTAGGCTAAGCTAGGCTAGACTAAGCTAAGCTAAGATGAGATAAGCTAAGCTAAGCTAAGCTAAGCTAGGCTAAGCTAAGCTAAGCTAAGCTGAGGTAAGGCAAGTTAAGCTAAGCTAAGCTAGGGGAACCCAGGGGGCGCAACCGGGGGAACCAGGGGGGCGCAACCGGGGGAACCGCCCGGGGTGGGTTACACTTCCCGCCCCCTTTAGCAAAGAAAGTAAGAACCCTTCTAGGCAGAGCCTAGGTAGGGAACAACAACAATTACTAGCACGTGGGGACACTCCGTTCTCACCAGTGCCAGGGTGTTCATAGGAGGCGGGCAATACCCCCACTTTGTGGGGGGGCCGGTTCAAGCTCTACCAAATTTCCAAACGACTCTTCGCCACCACCCACACCCAGCTTCCCGCCCTATGACGTTCGGACACTTCACTTCGTGGCATGCGGACGACCGTGGCTACTATTCAGGGCCCCGCGGCCGACGACGACGGCGTGCGCGCGCGAAGAAAAAACGAATGTGTCCCGCATGGTATTATTTGACAGGGATGATGGCCCTGGCAGGTGCGCAACCGTTGTCGCAGAAGTTCGAAAAAGTTGCTCGCAAAAGCCCGTTTGACAGAAATGTTTAAAAAGTGTTGGGTTTCCTACGAATCCGCAAGAGCGCGCGGGATGAGATTTTGACATTTTTTTGTTGAAAAACCATTGGTTTTTTGATGTTTTTATGTTAAAATCGCTCCGAACACTAAGCTTTTGGAAGGATTTCGTCTTGCGCGCGCGAATGTCCACTTTACCTTATTTTTTGCAAGGGATTCTTGAAATTTGATTATATTAGAACAAGAAATGTCATTTTATAGTGTTTTTTGCAAGGGAAAACGGATTACAACAAAACAACCGGATCCTGACACATCTTTTACCTGAGGCTTCCTCACGAAAATGATGAAAATGTAGCTGCGGCCTAGGCGGCGCAGGGGGGGCGCGCACCAGGGGGCCCAACAATAATTATTCTTTAGAATAAATAATGTTCAACAACAACAACAACAACAACAACAACAACAACAACAACAACAACAACAACAACAACAACAACAACAACAACAACAACAACAACAACAACTACAACTACAACTACAACTACAACTACAACTAGAGCTACAACTACAACAACAGCAACAACAACAACAACAGAGCAATCTGCAACCCGGCCCCGTGACGGGTCTGGGTCCACCGGTTGCACTTCACAGCGCACCAACCCTTTGCCCGGCCCCGTGTCCGACAGGTTGGCGCTCACGGAGCGAGGAGCCCGTCGCCGGCCCCGAGGGGGGGGGCACAAGGGACACGCATGCGCCATGCACCAACCTTGTACCCGGCCCCGTGTGAGCTTACAGCGAAAGCTGCGCTGAGACGGTGGTCAGAGCTCCATTGTCAAGCACCCCCACCAAGGCTGGCGAGAAGGCCCTCAATCCGTGAGGGAAGTGTAGCAAGCGTTAGGATGGGAGCTGCACTGGGAGCTGTAGCGGGACCTGTTCTGGGAGCTGCAGAGGGAGCTTTACTGGGAGCTGTAATGGGACCTGGACTGGGAGCTGTAGTGGGGGGGTACCTGCACTGGGAGCTGTAGTGGGAGCTGTAGTGGTAGCTGTAGCGGGAGCTGTAGTGGGGGAGCTGTACTGGGAGCTGTAGTGGAAGCTGTACTGGGAGCTGTAGTTGGACCTGTACTGGCTGGTAGATGTAGCGGGAGCTGTGTTGGGAGGGAACTGCACTGGGAGCTGTACTGGGAGCAGTAGTGGGAGCTGTAGTGGGAACGGAAGAGGAGGTTATTGAATGGCGCAGTTGCAAAAAGGTCTTGCTCCACTGTATGCTTCTCGACGTCCCTCTCGACACCTCCCCTGGGCATCAATTCTGTGTGGGCTGGCGGAGATATGCAAAACATCAATAATCAAGAAATCTTCCCGACGCCACTGAAACCAACGAACTCGCCGCTGACTGGGCGATGGGCCAAACGCTCAACTCAATGCCTTGCCTCCCTGATCCTCCTGTCTCTCTCTCTCTCTCTCTCTCTCGCTGACTCTCGCTAACTCCCTCTCTCTCTATCCCCACTCTCTATCTGTCTCTCTCTCTCTCTCTCTCTCTCCTCTCCCGTCTCTCCCTCTCTTTCCCTCTTCCCGCCCTTTTCCTCATCGTCCACGTCCTCCTCGGCGTCCTTATCATCGTCCTTGTCTTCGTCGTCGCTGTCAGCGCCTCAACCGCCCTCGTCGTCGTCATCGTCGTCGCCAGCTGGGCCCCCTTTCCGCATGCTCCCCAGCTCGCCTAGGTGATTCAAGAGGCCATGTATCGACAAGCCGCCGTGCCCGTGGTGTGATGTGGCAGCGCGATGCTCCAGCGCGAGACCCTGGATGCACTGAGTGGACGCCCAGAAGAGCATTACGACCGCCTGTTGGGGAGGTGTGGAGGAGGAAAAGAGGAAGAGGACCAGGAAACTCGTGAGAACATGTTGCTCAGACGACTACAGGCTGCTAGCAACTTGCAGAGCTGGAAGGCGGGACGGTGGAATCGGGAACAGGGGACAAAGGGGAGGAGAGGAAGAGAGGGCACCCTGTGGAACACGACGAGGCCCCGACCAATACGAGGGGCGCCTCCGCAAATCGCGGCATTGTCCGTGCGATTCCGAAAACACGTCGGATATCCAATTATATTTCTCACCCAGCAGGCTGGGGCTGTTAGATGTTAAGAACAGCCCGCCCTCCAGCCTTGAATACCGCGGCGGCCAGGACCAAATAGTCCCGAATTGTTCCTGGACAGCCCGCCTCGCCAGTCCTGCATACCGCGACCGCCAGGCCCAGCGGATCACTGAATGTCCCCGAGGGCACCGTCTCGCCGAGCCCCACCGGGGAGGCGTCACGGCGTCATGCCACGACACGCCGTCCAGGCGTCACGCCGTCCACGGGCATCTAGAACAAATGTGAGTACCAAGCATGCTTGCCAGCGTGGGCCCCGAACAGTGGGTTCGTTTACTCTCGAGGTGCACTCTGCGTCATGCAAGCTACGCGATGCAACCAGTGCGGTACAACTTGCGTCGTGCAATGTACGTTTTGCAATTCGCCTTGCTGGCATGCGCGCGTGACCACCTCCAATGCTCGTTCAAACATCGACCCCGCCCACCCGCAACTTGTTGTCGCACGCTGCGCGAACACCTGGCAACTTGTTCCCCAGAGACCAGGCACGAACCGCCGAGGGGGGCTGCCCCAGCGCGGCGCCTCCCTTTCTACGGGCTCCGAGGCGTGCATGCCAAAGCGTGCTGAAAGCCAGAGTCTCTTTCCGTTTCGGGTGTGCAGACAGGGTGTGCCACACCCCGATCGCCAAGCCCCGCCACAGTGTCCACCCGGGGTCCTTTTCGGCCGCGCCAGGGGGAGAGGCTTCTGGTGGAGGCCTGAAGATGGGCACCAATACCAAGACAGGGGGTTGTCTCCACATGGGGGAGATGATCCTCGAGTTCGGTGTTGGTGGTAATAGTTCGGTCACCTTGGAAGCTAGAATATTGCCATTATTACAGAGATCGGGAGCTTCGTCCGTCGGTGGAGGCACAACGCCGATGTTGGTGTTGGTGTCAACCTCTGGGCCTGCGAGTTTGGCCAACCCTGCCATGTGTGTGCGGCCCCTCCGGCCGGAGAGGTGCGGCCAGATGGGAACTCGTATCCTGCGCCCGTGGACCAGGCCTGGTCCGAACTGGTGCGCTCGCCCGCTCGCCCGATGACCCGCTCTCCCGCTCCTCCGCTCCCCCCCAGTCGGCGTCCAAGCACGAGCTCGAAGAGGGGATTGCCGAAAGAGAGCTCGGGGGGGCAGATGCCTTCACACATATGTCCTAAGAAAACAGGTCTCAGGTAGATCTTGGTGAGGGGCTACGACGTAGCTCTACATGTGTGTGCATGTGTATACATATACTATACATATATATACTTATACATCTCCACAGACATACATGCACACATCCGTATATTTGTATACACACATACATGTATACGTGTAGATATATATACATATATATAACTGTATGTACTGACCAGTATAGGCCCTGAACAGTGAATCATTGCAATCTATGTGGTCAAGCCGAGGTTGTGCACTCAATGTGGTGTAATCCGGTTGGTGCGATCCATGTGGCACAAAGCAACGCAACGCAACGTAAAGCAATGCGAAGCAAAGCCAGCCAATGCAAACCAATGCAAAGCAGTGTAAAGCAACGCGCAACAGGGTAAAGCATTGCACAACACCGCAAGGCAGTGCAATGCAATGAAAAGCCAGGTGAAGCAACCTGACGCAATGCGAATCAGGGAAGAGCAATGCAAAGCAAAGCAGGGTAATGCACAGCAGTGCCAATCAGTGCCAAGCAATGCAAATCAAGGAAAAACAGTGCAGAGCAGTGCCAAGCAATGCCAAGCAACGCAACGCACTGCGAAGCAATGCAAAGCGTGCGGCGACGAGGCGACGAGGCGGCGACGAAGCGGCGGAGAGGCGGCGACGGCGGCCACACGGCGGCCAGAGCGGCCCCAGGCGACGGGCGGCGACGAGGCGGCCGCATGGCGGTCCGCAGGCCCCCTTCCTTAGAAAAGAATGAAGAACCCCTAAATGCACGCACTGTTCGGGGAATCCATATATAAATCTATATGTATGTTTGTATATATATACACAGATACATATATAATGTGTGTATATATGTATATATGTGTATATATATATATATATAAAAGCTAGAACCACGCCCGCGCTTCGCGCTCGCATACAATCTCGCAAGCTCCAGTAGTAGTCCCAAGTGTCCGATATCGCAAGACATATATTGTCGCATGGGCCGTGCCCCTCAAGGAGCCCCGCCTGCGGCCCCAGAGACAGGCCGGGCCAGCGTCCTCCCGCCCCCCTTGTCGGCACACACCATCACAAGAATCTCGGCCCACTGGGAGCTCAACCCACGTCCCCGGAGACAGGGTTCGCACAGTGGCACTCCCTCGCGCGGATCGTGCACCGCAAATATGAGTATCGTTTAACCGATCCCCATCCCCAGCGGCGTGGCCTGGGCCCCGCTGGCCGATTTACCCCCCTAGATGGGGATATAGGTCGTTCTCTTCGGGTTTCGAGGAGTGTATCCCCAACTGGGGTGGTAATTTGGTGGGGGTCTCGAAGGGAACGGGGATGGGGATGGGGATCGGTTAAACGATACTGAAAGTAGCTGCATCTGCGGCATCAGGGCAAAGCTTCACAGCGTCGCCCCGCTCATTTCGGCACACATCTCACACGGATCGTGGTCCGCAAAGACTTCCACGGACGGCCCCAGAGACAAGGTTCGCATCCCGCCCTCCCGTCTACTTTGGCCACCTCTCACACGGATCGTGGCCTAAAAGGATCCTCACCTGCGGCCCCAGAGGCAGGGTTCGCGCTGCGCCCCCCCTGGCCATTGCGGCACACCTCATCACGCGGATCGTGCCCACGAGGAGCGCAACCTAAAGGCACGAAGACAAGGCTCGTACAGCGCTTCCCCGCCCATGTCGGCACACCCGTCACGCGAACTATGCCCCATAAGGAGCTCCACCTATGGCACCAATGTGCAGCTTCGCATGGCGTCCCCCCGCCCATTTAAGAACATGCCCCGCACGGCTCGTGCCTGGAGGAGGCTCATCTGCGGCCTCAGAGGGCGCCTTCGCGTGGGGGCATCCGAATGATTCGGCACACCCTTCACGCGTGCTCCGCAACAGTCGTCTTCGCACATTGCCCGGCGGCGCGCAATGTATGAAGAGAGGCCCGCGCCCTGCGCGACACATGGCTGCAAAAGGATGGGTCCGTCGCCAAACCAATTGCTTACTTATCTATCGCTTTCGGCCCATACGGCTACTGTCCCTGAGTTGTGGGCCAGAGGGTCCTCGGGTACCTGTGATTCGGGGTCTCTTGGCATGCTTCTCGGGCGCCTCGTGGAGCGAGTGTTGAACCCTTGAAGCATCTCGTGGCCTCATGTGGGCCCTGTGGGAGCCTTTGGGGGCCTCTTTTGGGGCCTCTTGGGGGCCTGCTGCGGCCTCGGTGGCCCACTCGTGGCAGAGAGCTCGATATGTCAGTTGGAGTTCCCCCTCTCGGACTCCTCTTGGGGCCCTTTTGGGCCTTCTTAAGCGCCTCTTGGACCTTCTCGGGGCTCTCTTGGGCCGTCCTGGGGCTCTCTTGGAGGCCTCTTGGACGGTCTTGGCGCTCTCTTGGGCCGTCCTGGGGCCCTCTTGGAGGCCTCTTGGGCCGTCTTGTGGCGATCTGTTGGACCTCTTAGGCCGTTTTGGACGCTACTCAAATCCAAAATGCTAATATGCTAAACATATCTAAGCATGCACCTTCCCCCCCAGGGGATTCAACAATTTTGGCCTACCCGGACCCTCTTGGGGCGCATCTTTGAGCCTTCGACGTCTTCGGGGCCTCTTGAGCAGCCTTGAAACAACATTCGGGCGTTTTCGGCCCTGTCAGGCCGCTCTGGCCGCTTTTTGGTGGCCTCCTGCACTGCTTTGAACGGCGGGGGGGAGGCCCGGGAAGCCTCGGAAAGGGTCAAACATGTCGTGGGGGAAGTCCCGGCATTGACAATGTAGGTCCGCACACGTGACACATGTTGACGTGTGCGGAGGTACACTGTCAATGCCGCGTTTTCCTGTGGCTTTGCTGTGTTTCTGCTCGCATCGCACACTGTCAGAGGCGGCGGCGAGCTTGAGAGATCCACCTACCGAAAGAGAAAAACAAAAAAAAGAGGGTGTCCCGGCCCGGGCCCCGGGCCCCTGTCACCCCGGCATCTATGCGGGGCGTCTGGGGGCCCTCGCCGGGCCCCGGCGTTCCCGTGTGCCCCGTGCCCTGCGTTCTCCCTCTTTCCGATGCGAGCCGGGTGCAGAGATTCTGAGATACCTGCGAGGTTCTGAATGACCTGCTTCTCCTCCTTCCTCCTCCTTCCTCCCTCATCACCATCAACATTCACTGGGTGGTGCGATTCGGTCACAGCTCCACTGAAGTAGTGACCCACACATGGTCTGAACTGGAAACGAGAAGGTGCCAATCACGCGGATTGAGCCGAGATTTGCGGCCCCAGTGAAAGCCAGGGTTCACAAAGCGTCCCCCCACCAATTTCGGCACGGCCCTCCCTCACGGATCGTGCCCCCCCGTGAGCTTCATTCTCGGGTCCAGGGACAAAGTTTGCATGGCGCCCCCCCCCCCCCCCGTATCCACATATCGGCACACCCATCGCACGGATCGTGCCCCAGAGGGATGAAGTTTCACGTGCGGCCCTGGTGGGAGCCAAGGTTCGTCTCCCGCCGTCCTACCTGGATCGTGAGATCGAGGCGTCTTGGGCGCCTCTCGGGGCCTCGCGGCGAGTTTCTTAGAAACCTCTTGAAGCCCTGAGATGGATCGTGAGTTGGGGGCCTCCGAATGCCTCAATGGGCACGCTGATGCAAAATGCGGACGCGAGATGTCTCATACGCTTTGGGGGGGCCTCTGGGGAAGCCTCCTGGCAGCCTCCTGAAAGCATCCAGGGAGCCTCTTCGGCCCTCGTGAGGGTCTCTCGGGGAATCCAGGGGGCGATTTCGGGGTCTCTCGGGTGGGCCTCTTGGAAGCGTCCTCGAAGCTTCCTGTGGAAGGTGTTGGGTGATGTTGGGAGCCACGCCCTCAAGATAGTGCCCCACGACCCGTTTTGGCACGCTCTTGAAGCTATCTTGGAGCTCCCTTGGACCGTCTTAGGGCCCTCTTGGGCCGTGCTTGGAGCCTCCTAAGCGGTCTTGGAGCCTCCTTGGGCGCCTCGTGGGCCGTCTTAGAAGCTGTCAAAACTGAAAAAGCGAAGATGCTGAGAATGCATCTTTCCCAAAAGCAATTGGGTGATTTTTGCCCCCCGGGGCCCCTGGGGGTGACTCCTTGGAGACCTCTTGGGGGCCTCTTGGGGCCTCTTGGCACGTCCTGGGACGGTCTGGGGACATCTCCAGTGGCGCCAGAGCGCCCCAAACGCAACGTTGGATCGTCTCGGCCCTGGAAGCCTATGCAAAGCCTCTTGGGGGCCTTTCAGTGCCTCCTGAGGGGTCGCGCGGGAGCTTCCGAGGGCTTCTTGGGAGCGCTCCTGGGGCCTCCCAGAAGGTCTTGGGGGCACGCTGGGAACCACACCCCTCAAGATACTGCCCCACGACCTCTCTTGGGGCCGGTTCTTGTTGTTCCCCAGCCGATAAGCTAACCTTCGCGCCGTGGGCAGCCCTGCATATGCCCGCGCCCCCCCCCACCCCGGACCTGCACAACCGGCAAGGTTAGGTTATCTTTGGGTGGGGGAGAGGCAAGCCCGACAACGCGGGTTATCGCCGGACCCTGATAAAAACAGTCTCCTGGTTGTTGCTGTTCTTCTTTCGGAGGGAGAGGAGGCGACGAGCGCCGGAGCACGGAGCCTCACCGCGGCGTGGAGCAGAAGGTTTCCAGGCAGAACGGGCACGCCACACGAGCCGAACTGCCACACAGGCAAGCTCGCGCAAGGAGCTGCGGCCTAGGAGAATTGCCCTCTCGACGTGCCCAACACTTGCGAAACGCATGGCCACAATAGCTGGGTGTCTTTTTGAAAGCCTACCAGACAACCCCAACCTGACCCGAAGACCCGAATTTCGGGTTGGGCGGGGGTACGGGTTCCGCACGTGTTTTTTCAATGCCCCCTGACCCCGCCCAACTGGAAATGAAGAGCAAATCGACTTCGGGTTGGGTTGGGGTGGTTTGGTGGGCGGTGACTTTAAGAAGGTGTGATAGATGGTCGAGGGTTTAGCCCCCCCCCTCCAATGCTAATGCCATCGGGCCCCCCCCCCCGCGCGATGGCCCCCCCCCTGTGGGCGTGGGCGTGGCGTGGTGGCCCCCCCCCTGTGGGAGTGGTGTGGGGTCCCCCCTGTAGGTGTGCGATGGTTAGGGGTCCGCCTGAGCCCAGAGTCGGCGTCGCTGGCGCCGCCGCCGCCGTCGTGTCGTCGTCGTCGTCGTCGTCGTCGTCGTCGTCGTCGTCGTCGTCGTCGTCGTCGTCGTCGTCCCAGGAATATCGTCGTCGACGGTGTCTTCACCGTCGTCGCCTCCTTCTGGGTGTGGCGTTGTGTTCCGGTGCTTCAGGGAGCCGGAGCGGAGCGGACGGTGTCTTCGTCGTCGTCGTCCTCCTCCTCCTCCTCCTCCTCCTCCTCCTCCTCCTCCTCCTCCTCCTCTCCTCCTCCTCCTCCTCCTCCTCCTACTCCTCCCCCCCCCATCCCATCTGGGGGGGGGGGGGGGCCGAGGACCCTGGGACCCATCCCATCTGGGACCCTGGGCCCTGAGCCCGCGATCATATATAACGTGGCAGGGAAGGAGGACGCGGAGACCATGGGAGAAAGAGGCGGCGACATCACATTGGCAACAAGTGCGACGACACGGCCCGAATGACGCCGGGCTGGAGATTTCCGTAGTCGCAGCACTGCGAAGCCCAATTGTCGGGGGCGCGCAAACATGGATTAGCGATCCTTGGGTTGGGCGCGGTTGCCAAATCCATGGGTCGGGGGAGGTGCCCTCCTCAAAATGCGGCCGGTGCCGCCTCGCTCGGCGGCGGAAACCCGCGGCTTCCATGGAAACGGGACCCGTCGCTAATCCACGACCCCTTAATCCATGCTTGCGATCGCCTGGAATTGCAACAAGATCCTGTCCCTTATAATATCCCTCCCCCGCCTTGCCTACTTTGTCCACCCCCTCCTAGCGCACTCAAGGCGGAGACAGCGTCTTGCCCATCGAAGTCTACGACGCTCCAGATAATCTCAGCGCCGGTCTTGCCACGTCGAGCACTCGCACGATTTCTTCACAGCTTGCGAGCGGGACTGGGAGATTTCAGCCGCGTGCGGCTGGGAGTTTTCAATCGCATGCCGATGAGCTTCTTGTCTGTACGAAAAGCCTCTGTCCCCGTCCCGTCTGTGAACTCCCACACCACGTCGGAGAGGTTCTTCCTCGTCAACGCGAACTGCTTACCGTTCAGTGCTTTCCATGGCTGCCCGTCGAACATGGTTTGGTTGGAGCTCACCGTACCGTCCTCTCTGAAGTTGAAGTACACATTGAAGGAAGGAGTTCCGTTCCACAAAATGTCAAACGTATTGCCCTTCAGTTTGGCTTCGCACGCAGACAAATTGGCGGACATATCTTTCGCCAATGCCGCCCTCCGACCTGTTTCAACGTGCGCAGCGTGCGCGCATCGAGTGTCAGGCCGAGCACACGCAAGGACCAGCAAAAATCCAGGCGAGGCGCGTCCTCGGCAGCACACGCGAGCGTGACTTGAGCCAAAATGGCTACGGAAACCTCTCTTGGGGCCGTATTGGGCCTCCCGTGGAGCCCTCTCGGGACTCTGTTGGGCCGTTTTGGGCGCCCCTGGGACTGTCTTGGAGCCCTCTAGGCCTGTCTTGAGGCCCTGTGGGGTCGTCTTGAAGCCTCCTTCGGCCGTTTCGGACGCTGTGAGAATTCGCCGGAAGCGAACATGCTAAACATGCTTTTACTCCAAATGGAATGAAGCGATTTTGGCCTCCTGGAGCCCTCTTGGGAAGCCTCTTGGAGTCCTGGGCCCCCATATTGACCCAAGGTCCCGGTCCGCCGTCCCCCCCCCCCGCTTACTCTGGAATATGTGTATCTATCTATCTATCTATCTATCTATCTATCTATCTATCTATCTATACATACATACATACATACATACATACAGACAGACAGACATACATACATACACACGTGCGTACGTAAGTGCAGACACACATGCATACAACCACACATACATACGCATACATACATACATACATCCATGACTACCTACATATATCAGACCTACCTACCTACATACATACATGCAGACATACACGTACACACAAGCAAACACACATACATACACACATACACATATACATACATGTATACATGCATACATGCATACATGCATACATGCATACATGCATACATGCATGCATGCATGCATACATACATACATACACACATATATACACACATACATGCATCCATATATCGTACCAACCTACACACACTTACATACATGCATGCATGTCTGCATACATACATGCACATGTGCATGCATACATGCATACATACATACAAACATGCATGCATGCATGCATACAAACATAGCAAATCATACGACACGACGGCACGGCACACAGGCACGACACGGACACGGCACACGGGCGACGCGCTTGACGAATTCCAACACACAACGCGGGACGTTACTTCAAGGAATTGTAACCCCTAACGCATTCGCTGTTCAGGAAAAGAAGCAACTGTGCACGGCGTAAAGGGAAGAGGCCCATTGTGAAAATGAGCCGCCATCCATCTGTGAAACTGCTGGAACGCGACATCAAAGCAATGAGTTGCCTTGTGTCCGTGTTGATGATTTCAATGATGACTGTGCGCGACGCGAAAACGAGAACTACATGTTGAAGACAACCCGCTCTCCTTCCGTGCATGAGCTGCAGGACCACATATGAGGGGGAAACCTCAGGCGAAACGCCCAGCGCGCCCTGCCAACACGTCTGGTGGTACGACCATGCGGAGTTGCTTACAGGGGAAGTGGATGACGGACAGGGGTGATGAGAAGGAGGGATAATGGAGAGGAGGCGGAAGAAGATGATGGACAAGGATGCCAAGGATGATGACAAGGATGATGGAGAGGAGGCGGAAGAAGAATAATGGAGGCGCTGACGCTTCACGCCTTGTGCGCCTGCGTCTTGCCTAAGATCAAGGGGGAGGCACGGCCGCTCACCCAGGCGCCCGAACGGCCGAGGTCAGCAGCGGCCAGTGATGTGGATGAGGATGAAGGCAGCGGCGGTAGCAGCAATGCGTGGCGTGGACACTTGGGAAGAGAGGGCAAGAGATGAGAGGAGACGAGAAGAGAGGATGCGACATGATGGGAATAGGGGAGGGAGAGCAGAGGAAGAGGATGATGACTTGATGGCGGCGGAGGACAACCATGAAACACATGCGAAGGCTGGGCGATTCAAGCTACGATTCGGAGCTCCCGTGGCGAATCGATCCTGTCATCCCGGGGCGCCTCCATCATGCTCGTCTCCATGCGGCCAGAGAACGTATCCGCGGAGACCCCCTCAGTGACGGAGGGGATGCACGATGGGAAGAGACCAACCTCAAACCTCAAAACGGGCTGCACCAAGCCGTGAGCCGATGGCCGGGAAATGGGGCCCCATCCTTCCGTAGATGGACAATATATTCGAACCCTTACACATTCGAGGGAGATTCTAAATCACCCTACGCCCCCGACACCAATCTTGATCTCAGCAAAGGCAGTGCTGTGGGGGTTCGAATATTTCTGTCCACTCACGCCCCCCCCCGTCGTCACGCCATTAATATTAATTTCGGGGGGTCTGGGGGGCGTCTTGGGGCACAGGGTTCGAATCTAATGTCCATGTACGATCCCTGTCCTCCTCATCCTCGTCCTCCGTTCCTGCTGCTTCTCCTATGCCTGAGGAGAAGGATAAGAGGAGGACAAGGAGGACTAGGAGGAGGAGGAGGAGGAGGAGGAGGAGGAGGAGGAGGAGGAGGAATGGGAGGAATGAGGGAGGAAGAGAGGGAGGAAGGAGGGGTGTGGAGGGAGGAGGAGGGGGGAGGAACCAGCATGGATACCGAGGGGACCGGAGGCGGGGGAGGTGGCGCAGGAGGAGCAGGACGACGACGACGACGTCTTGTTCTCTCCACCTCTGATAGCCCTGGCGCAGGCCAGTGAGCGGCGAGAGCCTGCCTACAAGGGGCTCTCGGGGGTCTGACCCACACCCCAAACCTCGGGCACTCAAGGCCAGTTCGCGATGATCATCGCTTCCTCTGAAGGGAACGGCGCCTCGCTGCCAACCCACTACATTCAAGCTGGGGCAACACGTCCCAAGACCAGGGGGCTTGGACGTCGCATGCTGGCAGCACTGCTAACAGAACAAATGCGTGTCCCCCAGCTCGGCCTCAGTGTGTGGGGTGAGGTCACACCGCTCGATCTCATGAGCGTGGGCGCGTTCGGACACACGCTTCAAGCTCGGATGCACGTCCTCGGGCCGGCGGCCTTTCCGATCGAGAGCACCTCAAATGGCCACCATCGACCTCAAACCTCGCCTGCACTGCCACCGAGATGGGCCGACCTGGACGAACTCCTGCGCTACGAGACGTTTGTTGGTCTGCGGCGAGTTGGGTGCAACAATAGAGGAACATAGCACGGCATACACATAAACTTTTGACGGTCTGCGCGGACTTCTTGGATCTGCGCCAGACACTCCCTCCCTGGCGAGCGGCGCGCGCCAGGGTCGACGCTGGAGGCGCCCCAGGGGGGGGGGGGGGGGCAGCACAGATCCAAGCAATCCGCGCGGAGCGCCGGAAGTTTATGTTCATGTTTTTTTTGTTTTCTCCCCCTCCTCGAAACAAGCGGTCGTGCAGACGGCGGGCCACGGGCCGACCTGGCACAGGAACCCGGGCGCTGCGAGACTTCTGCTTCAGTCTGCATCGAGTTGGGTCCGACAAGCGGTCGTGCAGACGGCGGGACGCGTCCGCTGCGGATGGATGCTCCGGGGGGGCGCGGGCGGGTCCTGGGGCGTAGGGGGCCGCATGCGAACCCTGCCCCCCTGCCCCCCCCCCCACGATCTCTGAGGGAGGGGGGGGGGCTGCAGCGGGGGGGGCAGGGCTCGCACGTGGCCACTCCAGGGGCAGGGAGATCGAAGGCCGCGGGACGGCCAGAGCACCGAGCGCTGTGCGCCACGGGGCGGGCAAGTGCCACCACCGGCAGGCAGGCGCGCTCTCCACGCCTCGCAGAGCAGCTGCAGTGGAGGCCAGTCCACAGGAAAGCTTCCACGAGAGACCCAACCATGAGACCCCAGGACGCCCATGGATTTTTGGCGTGGGAACGTCACGCTTTCCATCGCGAAGCCATCGAAACCCAAGAAACCCAGGGCACCCTGGAGGCGAGCAGGGTGCTGCCTGGCATGGGTCCCTGCTATACTCGCCGCGCGGGATCTTCGATCCGTTACGCAGGGGAAGACGTGTTTTTTCCAGACGCTTGCGAGTGGGCACTCTGCGAGCAGCGGAGCGCGCTCGGTGAACTGGGCAGGGGGTCGCCGCAATCCCTTCCGCTCGCCTCGGGGTGGTGGCCCCCGCTCGAGCCACACGTGCCGCTGCATACGGAAAACTCTCGGGAGGAGCAGCAAATCAGAATAAGCAGGCTACCTCTGAGGCCCGCGCGGACTTCTCGGATCTGCGCTGACATCTCCCCTCCACCGTGCGCGGAGCGCGCCAGGGGCGTCGCCGGAGGCGCCGCCAGCGGGCCCAGCGCCGATTCAAGAAATCCGCGCGGATCGTCGAAAGTTAGGTTTATGAAATCTGTTGTCATTCGATTATTGGCCCTCGCAATGTGCGCTTCCGAGTAAACGACGGTGAGACCATTCACCTCGTGCAACCTGCAGGCGAGCTTAGCGGCTTCATCGGCCTTGTCTCTCCATTCGTAGGGGGTCTCGGGGCTCCCTGGGACCTTGATCTGGGGCATTTGCTTGTGGAGTTCCCGAACATCGACATCATGTCGCATGAGCCCCCTTCCGAGACACGCGAAACAACCCCGCGGGGCAGCGCCAGAGACCACCCCATTCCCTGCAAGTCAAAACTCAACGTTCGAATCACCCGTGTAATGGGGTGCAGCGTCGATCGCCGATCCTTCTCGATTTGCCCATCTCGCTCTGCTGCCATTGCTGCATCCAATCTCCCTGGCAGGCGCTTCTCCTCTGTCTCCTTGGCACTTCTGCAAACCTTCCGAAACAGGCGACGCTTCCGCTAAGGAGCCAACAGTGATAACGTAATGCGAGGCGGTGCCCAGCAGCACGGTGGTAAACTTCAAGAGCGATCCATTCCTCCGGGAGGTGCTGTGGACTTCCCACGGACAGCCATCATGACATCGAGCCATCCATTTGTCCCTGCATTTGCGGGCAGCAGTGGGGCCTCCCTTGGCCTGCCTCGGCTTCCTGCGGCCTCATAGAGCAGCTTGGACCCTCCTCGAGCCTCATGAGAGTCTGACGCTGAGGGTGATGATGGGTGGTGACTGTGGACAGCAATGACACATTGACGCTGGGAGCTTTGTTACTTCCCGTTGTGTGGCTCACAACTATTTAGTCTCCATGAGCGCGGGTACCATGCAGTGCCATGAGCACTCGCTCACACCCCAAACCCTCGGACTTACCCCTGCCAATCCGCTTCTAGAAACTCCGAAAACGTCTTCCTCCTCCCCACTCCCTCCGCCTTCTATTCCTCCTCCTCCTCCTCCTCCTCCGTCTCCTCCTCCGTCTCCTCCTCCTCCTCCTCCTCCCTCCTACCTCCTCCTCCTCCTCCTCCTCCTCCTCCTCCTCCTCCTCCTCCTCCTCCCACTCGCGCGTGAACGTTAGAGCTGATGCTGTATTATTGATGTACTCACGACGAACTGCGCTGCGCTCCAAGAAGACCCACAGTTGTGTGCGGTGCGGTGTCCATATGGCGTCGGGCATTTAGCGCCAGCGTAAACCCTGCTTGCAGAGTAACACAATGGAGCAATTTGTGATTGGATTCTGGCATTTTCATGTGCATCAAACGAAGTCCGACCTGCATGGTCTCACAAAATACTGTGGGAGCTCGCCGAGAGCCACCCCACTGCGCGCGAGTTAACATGCCAGAAGAGAAGACAATTCAAACTTGAGCCGCGCGATCCTCCCAGGGACGAACATCTCGCACCAAATGAAGGTAGCCAAGCATCCGGTCGCCCAGACGAGAGCCGACTCGTAGGAGGGACGCGGCGGTCGATCTACCTTGGTGCGCCAGGAGAGGAAGGAAGAGGAGGAGGATGAGGATGAGGAGAACGAGGAGGAGGAGGAGGAGGAGGAGAAAAAGGAGGATGAGGAGAGAAAGAGGACGGGCAGGAGGAGGGGGGAGGGGCGGGAGGAGGCTCTCTGTTTGAGAGTTTTGAAAACTCTTGCTGGGTTTTGTAGGGGGGGCTCGAGGGTTAATTGAAAGATTTTGTGTGGACCTGGAGATTCGAAAGAGGAGGAGGAGAAGGAGAAGGAGTCCAGCGTAGAGGGGGGCAAAGTCCGTCCACTGCCTAAGCCGCCCACAAGGAGAAGGAGGAGGAGGAGGAGGAACAGGAGGAGGAGAAGGAGGAGGACGAGGAGGAGGAGGAGAGGAGGAGGCATACACTCTCAAACATCCAATGCTGTGGTTTCGACCTACTGATTGCATGTCATAGGGAATGGTTCAGATTGATTGGGGATTTAGGGGTGTCTGGTAAGGGTAATGAGGAGGAGCAGGCGAAGCAGGAGGAGGAGGAGGAGGAGGAGGAGGAGGAGGAGGAGGAGGAGAAGGGCTGGAAGGGGCGGAGTGCGGGAAAAGCAGGAGCATGCGGAGGACCAGCAGCAGGAACAGTGGCAGGAGTGACAGGAGCAGGCGAAGAAGCAACAGGAGGAGGGGGGGACAGCAGGAGCATGTGTGAGGAGAGTGTGAGGTGCACGAGAAGGGCGGAGGGTGGGTGAGCAACACGAGCCAGGAGCAGAAATTCGCTGGGCCTCCTAGCGGGACTGCTGCTGCAGTGTCCTTTGTTCTCCCGCTCGCCGTCGCGCGGACGTTCATTCCCCGTGCAGCTTTCGGTATCGCGCGTGTTCTTTGGGGCCCGATGGTCGAGGATGCTCCTCGATGGGCCTCGCCGAGAAACAGTGCACACGTCCGAACGATGCTAAGCTTAGGTCGGGCATGTCCTCCTACAGGCGGATTCTGGAGGGCAAATAAAACGTAGTCCACAAATATTCAAAAATAGTCAAGCATATGGGAAGAATCGTCCCCAGACTATTTGCGGACTATCTTTGCATACTCCCCACTGCAGAGGGACACGCCCGACCTGATGCCAGGCCCACGGCTCGCCAAAGGGGCTCTTACTTGTCTTTGAGGAGGCGGCGGGTGCCCAGCCTGCGCCGGCTGGCCCTCCTCGGATGGCTCGGTCTCGTCCAGCGGTGGCCTTCCTCGGATCGCCGGGCCTCGTCTCCTCACTGCCTTCCTCGGGTTGCTCGGTCCTGCTTCTTGACCACCCTCCTCGGGATGCTTGGTCTTGTTTCCTGGTCGCCTCCCTCGGGTTGCTGGGTCTTGCTTCTTGGCCGCCCTCCTCGCGATGTTTGCCTTGTTTCTCTACTGTCTTCCTCGGGTTGTTTGGTCTCGCTTATTGGACGCCTTCCTCGGGTTGCTTGGTCTTGCTTCTTGACTGCCTTCCTGGGATTGCTTGGTCTTGTTTCTTGACTGCCTTCCTCGTGTTTCCTCGACTTGGTTTCTCGCTGCCTAGCAATGCCCCGCAATGCCAGGCAATGCCGAGCGACGCGAAGCAATGAACGGCAACGCAAAGAAATGCCAAGTAATGCCAAGCAATACCAATACATGCAAACCCATGCCATGCAAGGCTAAGCAAGCAATGCCAGGCAATGCCAAGCAATGCAATGCCAAACAAAACGATGACAAGCAAAGCGAAGAAATGCAAAGCAACGTCAAAGCATGCAAAGCAAAGCGAAACAAAACAAAGCATTGCAAAACAAGGCACCGCAACGCCAAGCAATGCAAGACAATACAAATCACTGCTGAGCGCAACAATGCCAACCAATGCCTCCCTCGCTCATTTCTTACTCAGGAATCCTTCCCCTGAGTGGGATCGCGCCGGGTTCACTGCTTGTCTATCGCTTCTCTTGGGTCCTGTCTCCGTGATGCTGTCTACTAGCGGGGACCTGCAGCACCCGAAGCAAAACACCCAGGGGAGTGCCTCGGCCTCCTCTAGCTGCTCCGGGCTGCCCCAGGCTGGCCCTACACATGGACGCCACCAGACGGCATGTTGCTTTGATGTTGTTTTGCCCATGTGCTGCATGTCCGTCTCAAGGTCGCCTCAAGACGGTCTCCAGAGGCCCTGCTGGTGCTCAAAGCGCCCCAGAGGTGGCCCCCAACGGCGCCAGGATGCCACCAAGGTAGCCCCAACAAGGTCCTAGGCTTGCACCAAGAGGCCCCAAAGAGGCCCCAAAGATGGGCTCCAGAGGCCCCAACCAAGGAAGCCTCGATATTGCCAAGTCCGTCTCCAAGGTCGGCCCGAGAGGTCCGAAGATGCTCTCAAGAGGCCCCAAGACGGCCAACTTACGCAAACCAGGAGAGGTTCTTCTTGAGCCCGAGATGCCGAATTGGAGCCCTGTCCTCTTTGCGCGTGGTATCTCCCCAGATAGGGACGTTCCCCGTAGACTCATCGCATTGGTCTGCAAATCCAAGGATGCGCGGATTCAATTCTTCGGGTCCCTGGTATTACTTGGTATTGTATGTCTATCCGGGGCAGTAACAAAATCCGAGAATCATCCACACCAAGAACTCAAACACAAGAGAAGTTAGATCCACGTGACTCTCGCACACACGTGATGTGATCCAACTGGGTCCATGCTCTTCAAGACAAGAGGGAAACATTCGGCCTGGAGATGAAAACACGGACTCACGCGTGTCACAACATAGACAACAGATGACTTAGCCCAGGGAGCCAGCGGCAGAGGTCGCAGCCCTTCAAATACGGGAAATGATGATGATGATGAGGAGGAGGAACAGGAGTGAATGAGAGACGATGGTAAGCCCAGGGAGCCAGCGGCAAAGGTCGCAGCCCTTCAAATACGAGAAATGATGATGATGATGAGGAGGAGGAACAGGAGTGAATGAGAGACGATGGGGATGAGAATGAAGGAGGAGGGAGGAGAAGGAGAAGTCGGAGGATTAGGAAGAGGATGTAGAGGAGGAGGGTGAGGAGGAGGAGCAACTGCAGCATGTGGAGGGGAAGGCAGGCGCAGTCTACATAGGAGGGAGGCACAAGTCGTTCCAGTGCGAGGAGGAACGAGGTGCGAGAACACGACAAAGTAGAGGGCCAGGGGAGAGGGACCAGAATACGGACGAACTAGCATGATGATGCTGCTGCTGATGATGATGCTGCTGATGATGATGATGATGATGCTGATGATGATGTTGATGATGATGAAAAAGAAGTGGACACAGAAAACGTCAACGGGACTCGGGAATCCTCGCGCGATAAGAGGAGCAAGGTGCAGGAGCAGGAGAAAACGGACGAGGAGGATGGTTAGAGAAGGATGGTTACGATGAGGAGGATGTGGAGGCAGAGAAGGGTAATACGGGGAGCGGGGAGGGGAAGGCGGGGGAGGAGGAGGAGGAGGAGGAGGAGGAGGAGGAGGAGGAGGAGGAGGAGGAGGAGGGGACATTGGAAGATGGCGATGAGGGTGATTTTGGAGAAGGAAGAGTAAGAGGAAGAGAAAAAGCCAGATGAGGACGGGAGGAACGATGATAAGGACAAGGAAGAACATTGATGGGGAGAGTGAGCAGAGGAGGGAAGAGAGGATGCAGTAGGAGGAGGAGGATGAGGAACGATCTCCATGCGGGCTGACCAGGCACCATGCTTCGCATTGAAACGCATTGCCTTAGTTCGTCTATTATTGCGCTTATTTCCGCCTGTCCGCTCCGCCAGGTCGGCTTCGACTTGCTCTGCGTTCCCCCCCCCTTTCTATTGCAGATCATAAGTTTTGCCGACGATGCGTCACGCCTTGCCCGAATCTCTTTGAATGTCCAAAATCTGCGCAAAAGTAGGTGCAAACTTCCGCTCTGGACATTTAAACCCTGTGCTTTTTCGAAGGGGCGTCGCGAACCCTCGCTTTTGAGAATCTCCTACCGAGAGAGAACGAAAGAACGTGGATATCGGGGATGACCTGGGTTATCGCCCGGTTGCGAGGGCGAGGGTCTACAGCTGCCTTCCCAGCGCTGGAATTTAAACCTCAGCTCGACATCAAAAACTTTACCTTCTTGCTCGGCTTGAAGCCGTGTCTGATTTTTCGATCCATCACAGGAGCAAATCTGAATGATTCCAGCGTGGACCCAGAGAAGCGCCCCAAACAGTGAATTTGCACAATCCACGTGGAGCAACGCAAAGCGATGCAACGCGATACAAACCACTGCAAAACAGCGCTCCGCCAAGCACAGCGAAAGCGAGGACAAGCTATGCAATGCAAAGCAAAGCAAGGCAAGCGATACGAAACAATGCGATATGAAGCAACGCAGGGCAACGCCATTCAAGCAAAGCAGGGCCATGCAGTGCACCGCCACTCGGCCCAACTGGTGCGACGCTGCGCGAATGCGCGCCATCCTATGGTACGCCCCAAAAGCGCAACCCGAAGGCCACAATCAATCTGAGTATCGAGTAACCGATCCCCATCCCCACCAGCGGGGGCTGGGCCCCACTGGCCGATTTACCCCCCTAGATGGGGATATAGGCCGTATTCTTCGGGTTTCGAGAGGTGTATCCCCAACTGGGGGTGTAATTTGGTGGGGGTCTCGAAGAGGATGAGCATGGGGATGGGGATCGGTTAAACGATACTGAAAATCAGCCCCGGCCATGGCCCATGGCCCATCCCAGTGGGCGCAGCCGATGGCCGAGGACCGATGGCCACTCGGCTCCCCCAGAGCAGGAGCTTGAAGGCCCGACGGACCCAGGAGCCCTCGACCCCCTATGCAGGCAGCTTCTGGCAGGGCCCAGGCCAAAGAGTGTGTGTGTGTGTGTGTGTGTGTGTGTGTGTGTGTGTTTCGTGTTCGTTGTGTGTCCGCTGTCCTTCGCTGTGTCCTCGTCCTGCCTCTGCCGCGAAACGAAATTCAAACGAAAGCGGTCCACGGAATCGCCCAAACACCGTTTAGCTCGAACCCTGGCTTCGGGTGGTCCTGGGGCCCGAAGCTAAAAGGTTGGCAGGAGGGAGGAAAC